GCCCCACGTAGAGCGCATTACAGTAATCCAATCTAGAGATGACCAAGGCATGGACCACCCCGGCCAAATCAACCTTTATCATAAGCTATCACTCATGGCCAAGTCTGTCTGTCTAAGTCTGTCTGTCTAACTACCTACTTACCTACCTAATACGTACTATTCCATTATCTGGACAGAGGCCACAAGGTGGTGATAGAGAGAGAAGGACTGCACATATCTTATTTGTAATGGAAAAAACACTTAAAAACAATACAATAATTAAAATGAAGAACAATTTTAACAAATATAAACTTATTAATATTTTAATGGGAAGTGTGGGCCTACTTTTGGATGATGAGATAGGATTGTTGTTGTTGTTATGAGCTAACATAAAGAAAGCAGAGCCAGAGGAGGACGAGGATGACGAGGAAGAAGAGGAGGAAGAAGATTAAGAGTAAAGTAACCTGATGTAAAGATTTGTGCCTAAGTTTCAGACTTCGGTTGACCCTGAACTGCGGGCCGAGTAAATGACCTTGGAGGGTCATATCTGACCCTCGGGCCTTAGTTTGAGGACCCCTGATGTACAGTGTTGAAAAATGAGACACACAGAATAGGCAGTTAAGAAGTTTTATTGATACCTGCATTTCAGTTAATTCACATTAAATGAGTTAATCCACTATTTTCCAGTTGCTCCTCAAAAGAATTACTAACTTCCAAATTTACTCATACCTGATCATCTCTACATTTTGAAATATGCTTTCCTGTCAAGTGCCTAAAAACAAATTTAACCTTACTCTGTAAAATATGAATTGTATTACAATTTAAATTTTTAGAAACTTGATAAAGTATAAGATGACAAATAGGAGTTTTAGTTTGACCAAGTGCATATTCTGATCATGACGTTGTTCCTTTGTTCAGTTCTTTTTGACTCTTCGTGACCTCATGGACCAGCCCACACCAGAGCTCCCTGTCGGCCGTCACGACCCCCAGCTCCTTCAAGGTCAGTCCAGTCACTTCAAGGATTCCATCCATCCATCTTGCCCTTGGTTGGCCCCTCTTCCTTTTGCCTTCCTTTTTCCTCAGCATCATTGTCTTCTCTAAGCTTTCTTGTCTTCTCATGATGTGGCCAAAGTACTTCATCTTTGCTTCTACTATCCTTCCCTCCAATTAGGAGTCAGGCTTTATTTCCTGGAGGATGGACTGGTTGGATCTTCTCGCAGTCCAAGGCACTCTCAGAACTTTCCTCCAACACCACAGTTCAAAATCATCTATCTTCCTTCGCTCAGCCTTCCCTATGGTCCAGCTCTCACATCCGTAGGTGACTACGGGGAATATCATTGCTTTAACTATGTGGGTTTTGTGATGTCTCTTCACTATTTTATCAAGATTGGACATTGCTCTCCTCCCAAGTAAGCATCTCATGATTTCCTGGCTGCAGTCTGCGTCTGCAGTAATCTTTGCACCTAGAAATACAAAGTCTGTCACGGCCTCCACGTTTTCTCCCTCTATTTCCCAGTTGTCAATCATTCTTGTTGCCATAATCTTGGTTTTTTTTATGTTTAACTGCAATCCAGGTTTTGCGCTTTCTTCTTACACCTTGATTAGAAGGCTCCTCAGTTTTTCCTCGCTTTTGGCCATCAGAGTGGTGTCATCTGCATATCTAAGGTCGTTAATGTTTCTTCCAGCAATTTTTACTCCTGCCTTGCATTCATCAAGCTCCGCACATGGTATGATGTGTTCTGCATACAAACTGAATAGGTTGGGGGAGAGTATACAACCCTGCCGTACGCCTTGGGACAAAGGATTCCTGTCTGTTGGAGATAGGTGTGAATGTTTCAACTGACCACCTTGAAACATTGAAACAGAGGGGAAACAATCAAGGACATCTAATCACCTCTCAAAAGATTGCCTCAGGCACTGCCAGGCCATCAAATGCTAATCAAGGTGGTCAGCTGAAACATTCACACCGGATCGGGGTATAGGGTGGCAACCTGTGCTGGACGGGGTTACATTCCCCCTGAAGTTACAGGTCCGCAGTTTGGGAGTCCTCTTGAACTCATCACTTACGCTTGAGGCTCAGGCGTCAGCGGTGTCTGGGAGGGCTTTTGCACAATTGAGGCTCGTGCACCAACTTGCAACCATACCTCATAAAGGCTGATCTGGCCGGGGTGGTCCATGCCTTGGTCACCTCTAGATTGGACTACTGTAATGTGTTCTATGTGGGGCTGCCCCTGAAAACGGCTTGGAAATTTCAACTGGTCCAACGGGTGGCGGCCAGGTTGTTAACTGGTGCTCCTTACAGAGAGAGGTGAACCCTCCTGTTTGAGGAGCTCCATTGGCTGCCGTTCATTTTCCGGTCCCAATTCAAGGTGCAGGTGCTCACCTACAAAGCCCTAAACGGTTTGGGACCCGCCTACCTGCGTGACCGCATCCCGGTATATGAACCCACACGATCTCTTTGATCATCCAGAGAGGCCCTGCTCACGATCCCACCTGCGTTGCAAGCACGTTTGGTGGGGACGAGGGACAGGGCCTTCTCTGTGGTAGCCCCCCAACTCTGGAACTCTCTCCCCAAGGACATCAGACAAGCCCCAACGTTGGCAGTCTTTAGGAAGAGCTTGAAGACCTGGCTGTTCCAGTGTGCCTTCCCAGAATAGGAAACTCCCAGCATCATGTCCCAAACGCACTTTATTAGAGATTTAAGATTGCCTGCACATCGCACCTACCCTAAAATCCTTAAATTTCACCTGTCATGTCCAGCACTTTTAATTTATTCATTACATTTGGCCCCGCGCTAGTTTTAAATGTGTCATGATGTATTGTTTTGATGTTTTACTGTTATTTCTTTAATGTTTATTGGTTTGCCTTTGTAAGCCGCACCGAGTCCTTCGGGAGATGTTAGCGGGGTACAAATAAAGTTAATAATAAAATAATAGCTCCAGCAGACAAGAGTCCTTTGTCCCACCCTGGTCATTCCACAGATATATAAACCCTTTTTCCTAGTTCCAACAGACCTCACTACCTCTGAGGATGCTTGCCATAGATGCAGGCGAAACGTCAGGAGAGAATGCCTCTGGAACATGGCCATACAGCCCGAAAAAACCTACAACAACCCAGTGATTCTGGCCATGAAGGCCTTCGACAATACAGGGGATAGAAACTTTGGAGGCATCCCTCAAGAAGAAGGTTAAAAAGAAAGAAGGGGGGAAGAAAGAGGGAGAGGGAGAGAGAGAAGGAATTCTGAAGGAAACTCTGCTTCGATGTGGTATCTCTATTTACCATGGTCCTGGTAGCAGACACCATGGCACTCATCAACCAGAGGTTCCCAGAAGACATCACGGCTCTGTTTCACCATTGCCTCACCACCAGTTACTTTCAGTGGGACAATGAATTCTACGAACAGAAAGATGGAGTAGCTATGGGGAGCCCTCTCAGCCCGGTCATAGCTAACTTCTACATGGAACACTTTGAAGAACAAGCCCTGGAGACAGCAACCAAAAAGCCCACAATATGGTTCAGATATGTGGATGACACCTTCACCATTTGGAGCCATGGAGAAGAAGAACTCAACAGGTTCCTGGACCATCTTAACAGCATCCACCCAAACATCCAGTTCACCATGGGGGAAAAAATGAAGGAAGACTGCCTTTTCTAGATGTCCTAGTCATCCGCAAACCAGATCAACAATTGGGTCACACCGTCTACAGAAAACCCACACACACAGATAGATATCTACATAAAAACTCCAACCATCACCCAAGTCAAAAAAGAAGCACCATTAAAGCCTTGATGGCCATGCAAAAAGAATCTGTGAACTCCACCTCCTTCAAGATGAACTGAACCACCTCGACTGGGCTCTCCAGGCCAATGGATACTCCACCTCAGACATCAGAAGAGCT